TTATTAAAAAGGATTATATGAAGTTGTGAATAGTAAATAAATCAATTTTTATTTGAATAAAATTAATATTTGTATAAAGTTGATTAGTATTAATAGTTTCTTGATTAGTATTAGAGTCAAACATTATAATATCATTGTCAGAATTTGTTAGAGAGTTAGTTAATGTTTCATTAGTTTCTATGGATTGTGTGATTTTAATATATTTTCTACAATGGTTTTGTTAGATTAGGCTTAAAGAAATTTGTATTAATTTTAGGAGCTTTTAACTAAATTTTAAATTTGAAGAGTAATGTTTTTTTGCTTCTAAATAAAAGCATTCTTTATAAGCTTTTCTGATATAAGATATGAATAGTTTGTCAAAAGCTTTGAGTAGGTAATTACTCTAGTTAAGAAGTAGGTATCTATTAGTTTTGATATTATTTTATCAATTGCTTAGTGAAGGTAAAGGCTATCTATTTGATTATTAATAGCAGCTGCTTTAAGATATGCATTAAAATAATTGTAAAAGTAATAATTTTCACAAGTAACATCATGATAGTCTAATTTGTTAAGTTTGTTAATTTCTAAGAAATCTAATTCAGTTTTGGCAGCAAGTTGTCAAAGATAGATAATTGGTGTTTGTTTTTGAAAAGTTTCTGAAAAATCATTATTATATTTGAATATTACAGTATTTAGAATTAGTTGTAACTATTTAGTTTTAGAACTTAAGCTTGAGCTAGAATTTGTAGATGCAGGATAGTATTTGAAGAATTCTTCAAAGAATTTAGCTGACAGGTTTTTAACATTGTTTTTAGCATTATTAGGTAATATAGTACAGTTTTCTATAGTACATATGTAAATATAATAAAGTGCTACTTTAAAGCAGAGTTGTAAGTGTTCACATAGTGAGTTAATAGAGATAATAGTAAATTGTTGAGATAAAAGAGCCTTACAAGTGTCAAAAAATTTAAAAACAATTTGATATTTGATTAAGTTAAATGTTTTTTGTTTATCAATTTGGATAAATTGTTATTTGTAGATATCAAAGAAGGTATTAAACTATGTTTTGAATTGTGTTAAGTAATCTTTAAGAGATGTAATTTGAAATGTTTGAAAGAATTGTTGTTTTGAGATGTTAAGAGATATATTAATGTTAAATTTATTATTATTTTGAATTTTAAAAAGAGGTTGGTTAATACTGTTTTCACTGATATAATAATAAAGTTTGAAATATATTAGGTAGAGTTTAAGATCTTTATAGAATTTTTTGTATTAATAATTTTATATTTGTTATGAAGAATAAGATGTAAGCATGCTAGATTAAGTGCAACTTGCATTCTATTTGAAGTAGTATAAGGTAGAATCAAGTTATATAAAGTAAACTTTTTGGATAATCAAGGTGAGTGAAGAGTGTAGTAGTAAATTCTTTAAGTAATATAATAAGAGTAAAGTGAATATGTTCAAAAGGAATAACAAAAGATTAGTTTATAGAGGTGTTGTTTTTATAAATGAAATCTGTAAGAAATTTAGGTCATTGACTAGCTAAGGTTTTAATTAAATACATATAATTAAATTTGGATGTTGGTTTATTTTCAGTTGCTTGTTTAATAATTTTTTTAAATATACATTAATAAAGTATAGTTTAATAAATTTGAGTATTTGTGAAACTAGTTTGTTGCTGAGTTCAGTGTGATGTTTTATTTTTTTAGTAATTGGAAATTTTTAACCAATCAAAATCATTAGAAATATCTCTAGATGTTGGTTTTTGTTTTTAGTTTTGTTCTTTGATGAAGTGTTGAGAGTTTGGTTTTTTTAAAAAAATAGATTTATATAGTTGGATTTTGTCTTTTGTGAACATAATGCTAAGTTTATAAAGAATTGTTATTTTTTTTAGTCAGAACTAAGTGGAGTTATTGGTTTAATCAGTTTAATTTTAAGTTTAAAATTTAGAATATATAATATACAAGTGTAATGAATTAGAAAGCCTTTAAAGATACATATTGTTATATAATATGAAGTATAATTTTGTTGACTGTCAATAAAGACACATTGAATATTTTTAAGTTTGTAGAGAAAACAAGTATAATAGTATTCTGAGTATGCAATTATAGCTGTAAAGGTTGGGTCTGTTTGAAAGTTTGAAAAAGAATATGTGCTATTAAAGATGAAGAAAGTTGTATTTAATTAGTTGATTTAGAAACTAGTAAGGCTAGTAATTCTTTTGTTCTTTTAAAACTTTGTGAGAAAATAGTATTTCAGATTTGAGTTTGAGTTGGATTTAAAGGTTGCCAAATTGTAGTTTAATGAATAATTTTGTAATATCAAAAAATAAAGCTTATATAAAATTTGCCATAAAGGCAAGTTGTAATTGCAGGTTGTATTGAAACTTTAAAATAGTATTATTATTTTTTATTATTATAATAGTCTGGTTTAGCTGCTAGTAGAAGAACTCTTAGAACTTGGAGTTTGAATTCTTTAAATTCAACTCTATACCAGTCTTTGTATTTAGAATAGTAGTAGTCTATGTTATAGAAATCTAATTCTTGAAAGTCAGTTAAACTAGGCATTTTTCTAAGTTATTTTTAGTGTTGAAGTATAATAAATAAGAGATATGACAAATAAGAGATATGACAAATAAGAAATATGATAAATAAAAGATATGATGTTTAAGATAACATCTGGCATGACATCTAAGTGATTGGTGTGATTAATGTGAAACAAAAATTTGTATAAATTTGCTAAGACAAAATTAGTAATATTAAATTTTATTTAAAAATAAATAAAACAAAAACAGATTTGTGTAAATTAATTAGTAATCTTAATTAGTAATAGTGATCTATAGGTCTGTGACACCCTAGAGGATCAGGGTCCTCCAAAAAAAAGAAAAAATTTTTTCCAAATTTTTAGAAAAAATTTTTTTTCAAATTTTTAAAAAAAATTTATAAGAGAGTTTTAATAAATTTTTCAATAAAACTGTTAGTTTTTGATTATATAGAGAGTATAATATATCAAAATGAAGATAAAAATGTGCTAAATCCTTTTGTTTTAAGTAGCTACTATGTTTTACTTAGTAAAATAATGAGTATTTAGTAAGAAAAGAAATTTATTTAAATTAGTTATATCTCAGTGATAAACACTTTTAGAGATATAGAAGTAGGCTGCCTATATAAAAAACTTATGAGAAACAATTTTACTTAGACAATCAAGATAAATTTACTTATAAATTAAGAAAAGAATAATTTTTGTTTAGAAAGAATTTGGTATAAGTGATCATTAGAAAAAGTTAGTAATTTACATCTCTTGTCTTTAACAATTTTAAAAATAATTTTAAATAACATAGTTAAAATTAAAAAAATTTTAGCATATTAAATAGCACAATTAGAATAGCATACAATATGTTTTTTAACTTTTTATTTGATATTATTATAGATATACATGTCTATTAAATTATATAATAGTTCAAATAATAAATCAAAAAGCATGTTGAATAATGTTTAAATTGTACTATTCAACATGTTGAATTTTTTAATTTTGACTAGTATAATTTTATAGTTTAAATATATATATATTTTTTTTTAACATTAAGATAACCTCTTTGGTTTTTTGATTTTTATTATTAACTTTTTTACTTTTTTAGATAATGTGATTTTATAAACTACTACAAATATAATTTTTTTAAAATTAAACAACTTATAAAAGTTTAAAATAATAAATAACTCATTTAAATCTATATATTATTGAATTTTGATAAAAATTAATTTAAAAATAAAAAAGTTTTATTAGTAACATATTTTAATTTACTATATAAAAATGCATTATACTATCTAGATCATATGAAAAATGATCTACATACACCTTACCCTTAAATAAACCAATTTGAAAAATGATTTAAGGTTATATAAAAACATGTAAGTGAGAAAATTTGAAGATAAGAACAAAAGAATTTTTTAGAGAGATAATAGAGAGTTGAAGTTGTTTTTTATTGTAATTCTGTCAAATTTGAGGCTACAAATTTCTTTTTGGAATTTTTTTGATCGGAAGGAGATGTTTTATAACTTTTATTAGAGCAGCATTGTGTATTAAAAAGGTAGTTGATGAAAAATAATTAAAAGTTTAATTACAGAAGCCAAAGATCATTTTAGCAGTATTAAACTGCAAGTTTGAAAGTTAAAGACTTATAACTTTCAAAAATATGTAAAATTGTAAGCTGAACAAGTTTACATAAGGCACCAAAGTTAGTTATCTTAATAAAATAACTAGTTATTAACAATTTTGTTACTGATTGATTTTTGTTATTTTTGTATAAAAAGATTTATGGAAAGAGTTATTGAATATATTTTTCTTACATATTTTTTACATTTGTATTTTTTTTGTATTTAATTATATTCTGTAATCACATATTCAAATACACATGTATATTAGTTAATCTATATGTTATATGTAAAAAATAATCAAAATTTAATAAATAAATCATGCAAACCAATCAAAATTAAGATTTTGCAGACAAATTCTACTTCAAACAACATTTAATCTATACATACATTCATTACATTCATTTTTGACATCTATACACTTATTACATCTATTTATAATATTATTATATTCATTTTTGAACACTTAATACATTTGTTATTAATATTATTATATTTGTTTCAGGTATACACTTATTATATTTGTTTCTAATATACATATTACATTCGGTCCTAGTATATACTAATATATATGCTCATGGTAAAGATTTTTAAAATAAGGCTTAACTAAGCCAACTGATTAGCAACCTATTGTATTAAAGTGTAAAAATGTAAAAGAGCTTATATGCTTAAACAAATAGTTGTGAAAATGATGCTAGAAAAAGACTTTTATTTGTTTTTATTTTATTACATTTTCTTTTTTATAATGTAAATACTGACATTATTTATAAAAGCATCAATCACTCTGATAAACCTAATATTAAAAACTTTAATATTAAAAAAACATGTATTAATAGTTTCTGATTCTATGTAAAGGTTTTATATAAATATATGACTTGCAAAAAAGGTAAGATTCAAAATATTATAATAGATAATGATCATCTGCATTTTGACATTTTTATTGATCAAATTGATTCATTATGCGACATTTTTTGTAGAGTAAGATTTTTTATTATGATAATAGTTTTTCAATAATTTTATTACTAATTAATAACTTTATCAATCACACAAGTCTTATCATTGCTGTAGAATACACATTTTTTTTACTAATTAACATGAATTTCAAGATATCTTAGAATTTATTAAAATTTAATTAGATAAATTTTCAAAATATTACAAAATTCATGTAATAAGCCCAAATTATTAAAACCGATTCTAACCTCTACTATAGCTCGTAAATTTTGTAATAGGAATTCTTTTACATACGGAAATCACAATAAGTTTAACGCAATAATGTATATGTTAACCCATTATAGACGCGGTATATATATCTGTTATTTTTTAAAATCGTAGCTCTTAGTATATTTTTTGTTATTTTTATTCATCATCATTTAAGATTTAAAAAAGGATTTGATAATTAAGCAAGTGACAATGACGATATTAATAAATTTATTCGGCAAACTCGTTTTTAAAGCTGTATGGACTGAAGGATATATCACGGAATTCAATAGAAAGAAGGATAAATGGATGAGAAAGCCGTGAACAGATATTTGCTTAAAAACACTTGATAATTCTGAAGACATAGAAGGAGAATATTTAGAAGAAGTAAGCTATATAATAATAATAATTATTATTATTAAAGTTAGTAGTTTATTTATCCTAAATAATATTTTAGGTTGAAAATCAACATAACATGGGGGAAATTTAGCAATTGAAGTTTATGGAATAACAAAATTGCTAATCACATGCTGGTTATAAAGTATGCAAAGCAAAGAAGTCTCCGAAAATTATTAAATAACAAATATAATGAATTAGATTGGACTTTTAAAATAGTTAATTTATATTACATAACAGATGGGCTTAATCTAATTCACGAAACTAACTTAGTATTCAAAACTTTCATTCGAAATATAGTTAATCAAAATATTTGTATTCCTTACAATACTGATTTTGGTTTATGCAATCCAGTGTCTCGAGATCCAAGGTCAGAAAGAATTTATGGGGTGCTTACTTGTATTGCGGCAGAGGTATTAATTACAAACAGAAAAAAATACACTCAAAAATCAGATATTTATTCTTTTGGAATAATAATGTCGGAAGTATTCACTAGGTATCCTCCATATCATGATGTTCCACACGATGAAGCATTAGCAATCCAAATTTTGCTAGGCTGTAAACCCGAAATCAAATGTGAAATTCTTCAACTACTTGAGTTTAATGAATAAGTGTTTAGATGCTGAACCTCATAATAAACAAACTGTCAAAGAATTAATTGACGAACTGAAACAATTTTATGATGTTTTGAAAGGGAAACCGAAATAATTTCTCAATATATGATCAATCAACACGATTTCATTCTTATAATAGGCCATGTCACCCAATTTTAAAAGGTATGTATGTAATAAATTATTCAACTAATGTATTTCTTAAATTTTTTAAATGTATAACTTTATTTTGTAACGAAACAAAAATTAACACATATTAACGAGATAGAATTTGATGTTTCAAAATTGAAGTCATATATTTTTCCATTGAGCACATATATTAAAGAGCTAGAAGGAACAAAAATAAATGAATGTCAGATTTTTGTTTCGATTATGGGCGAAGATAAAAGCACATTTTCTTTATATGTGGATTACGTAAACGATTTAACGCCTGAAATCATTGTTCACTTGGTTCAGAATAAAGCAAAAAGCAACACCTAATGTTTAAACTTTGTTGGATTATCGTCGGTCTACCTACACACTTCAATTAACTATCTGATTATACTTTGAAGCAAGAAATATTTTAAATTTAAAAAGAATGATCAGAATGATCATTATGCTGTAAAAATTAATGAATTTGCGAGCCTATATAAACCTTGTATATTATGTACTTGTATGTTAGAATCTGATATAATAACTGATAGTTCAAGCTCAACAACCAATAACTCTTCTATCTTACCAGAATCAAAGTCAATACCTAATAACTCTGCTACCATGTCAGAATCGAACTTAACACTACTATTATGTCAGAATCCAACTCAACAGTTAATAACTTTGCACCTAATAATTATGTTATAACAAAACTTATTAAGGATAATTCATCTATTATTATTGGTACTCGTATAACACACTTTCTAAATACTCTGCATGCTTATTCGCCTATGTTAGAAATAAAGAATTAGATAGAAACTAATCATTTGAATAATTATTTATGACTGCTCTGCATATTTTCTCAATAATATTAATTTCAATATTTTATTAATAACAGCAATATACAGTATGATATGTCTCAAAAGCATTATACTCAATAACTTGCTAATGTATAAAAATTATCTAAATTTTAAAAAGTTATACGTATAATAACTAAAATTTTGAAAAGTAATAAAAGAAACTAATTATGATTATTTGTGTTATAATGTAATTAATTTACAATAAATTTTAGTTCATTAACAAACTTTTCTATTTCTTTATCACATTCTAATCTCAAATTTTCATCGATCTTATTAGTTTGACACATCTTTTCAATAACCTTATGTAATGCTTCACTAGTAATAGTTACTTGTACATCTTTTATTCCATCCTCGTACACCTCAGAAATCGATACTTTAATTTTACCATTCGAAAATTCATCCTTGGATTTAATAAAAATACGTTTAATCTTGATACGTGTAATTGTGAAAAGGTAATTAGAAGTATCTTCTAAATTAATAATAGTTTTTGTGTCAAAATTATAAGTAGAATTTTTTATATAATTATAAAGTTCGGTAGGCATTTTTGTTATAGGTGGTTCTTGAGAAATAACTTTGAATCGAAAATCCAAGGTAGATTTTGGTCCAGCGAAAGAGTAAAAAAGATGCTTATTGTTTTCGGTTTTAAATTTACGAGGTATTAATTTTCCATCTGATGTAATATTTGTAGAAACAATAAACCGTTTTTGAGCTTCATTATCAATTAAATGAATGGATGCTCTTTGAATGATTTTAGAACTTTTTTCATATTCCAATTCAATTAATCGATTTTCAATAATCTTTGCTACTTCGAATGATACATGATTCATAAATGTTGTTTTAGCATCTTTTTTATAACCGATCTTGTATTTAAGGAGTTCATAGAGAGGAACCGATTTTGGAAGATCAATAACTTCTCTAGTTGCTGGATAAAAAAGTTGCTTGCCGATATTTACTCTAACTTTGAAGTCAAGAGACTTATTATCTTGGTTGGTAGTTTGTTCCATTATTCGTTTGGTAATGTAATCTACCGAAAATCTATCTTTTCCAGGTGCGATAATATCTTTAGCTTGACTAGAAAAGCAAAATTATTCTTTTTAATAAATGCGAATAACAAATATGTAATTATATTATTAACGTACTCAAGATTAAGATTTCCAAATAATGAAGAGAGTTGATCATCTTCACTCATTTCTTTTCCTTTATCTAAAATGAAGTACTCCTTGTTTATATTATTTCTATCAACAATACCATCATATTTTGAAAATAGTATAGTTTTGAGTTTGGTCAATGGTGGTTGAAGTGCGATAACAGCTTCTATTGGGTGATTATAAACTGCAATACTATTCCAAACACAATCTTTGATCAAGTTAAGAGCGATCTTTTTAGCCTCATTCGTGCCTTCCACTTCTATAACATTATTTTCCTTGATAGTACATTTAGCGTTGGAGCGTCTTTCAATCTCTTGAATTTTAGTATATTTTTTTCCTATAACATGACCAATAGAACGAGATGGAACTATAATTGTTTTCATGATACTGCACTATAAGAAAGAAAGGTAATGATGTAATAAACAAATAATGATCGCTGAATACTTATTCAGATGGTAATTCAAAAGACCTAAAGCTAAAGGAATAAGATTTTGATAACTCGAATTGACTCCACTATTATAGTCGCTTAAATACATTTTTTTACTTATTACATATATAAATTACAAGTAAATTAAAAATACAAAAAGAAATATCACTATGTATATTATATTCCCTAAACAGTAATGTTAATACGTAAGAGTCAAATTAAAATTAACTTTAAACGTTTACCGTTACGTAAAGTTGAGTAATCTAAAGATATGGAGATAGACCATATTTAGGTCGCTTGTTTGATGTATTAGGTAATGATTTGCATCAAATGACGAACATCAATACCAAAAATCTGTGTTGCGGAGTTTTGATACAAACAAATCTATTTGAATGTATTTAACGAATTCGTTTACGCCAATATACCCCATAATACATAATTACGCATTATTTCAGTGAAGATAGATATACGTATTTGGAGGTAACATACGGGTTTGGCTCTGCCGTATTGTTACTTATATAACTTGAATATTAAATAAACTCATTTTCTTATCTCTTATATGATAATAATTTACTTGTAACAATAATAAAGCGGTCTTAGAAAGTACGAAAAATTTTTAATAATCAAACAAACGACCTTTTCTTTTTGACTAATGCACAATTCTGTAGTTTGTACAGATGTCATTGTTTATTAAAAAGGTAAAATTATGGGGAATATGTTCTATTTCTGGATCTACATTGTTACTACTATTGGATACAATGCAAACTATTTAACTTCAAATGTAAAATTTATAATTGTCATCAAATCGTGTATAATCGATAACAATGCACCAATAATACTTTCAAAATTATAATTTGATCTTGTAAAGGAAAACTGTATAAATCATGAGATTTTTAGTGTAAGTTTTATAATATATTTAAAGCACCGCAAAGTTCGATAAAATGCTTTTCTAAATAAAGTAAGTGTATTGTCATTGTGCACGAAGTGGGCAATCTAGTCATTACTATTATCAGTGTGATTTAGGCTGTGGTTAAGTCAACCAATAACATGCACGCTTGAGATTTTTGTAATTTAGAAAGCAGAATTATGAGCCTTAGGTGGATCGTGGAATTCATATCAAGAAATAAATAACGAAGTAGGTCCGTATCACTTCAATATACGACTAAAACTTGATTTATAAACTGTGACAAAGTTCTTTTTATATTCATTTTATATTAATTTCATAGTATTACTTAAATAGATTTTGCCGATTCTTACCAGGAGTCTAGATACTTACTGCTAGAGATTTTACCCGTATGCTAGTCATCTGGTGACCAGTATAACATTATTAATCGGTTATAGCTATGGGTACCCAGATGACCCTTATAGATTTTCTAAATATAAGCATATACCGGTTATGAGTATGAACCAATTCTATTACAATGCTGATTTCTTACTTTTATCTAAGTGTCAATTTTAGAAACAATTGTATATTTAGAATCGATTTAAAGAGTCAATATATATTAAAACATCTAACCATTTAGTTTAAAATAGTATAGATAATATGCAACAAAAACATCTATATATTTAAATTTATCAATATTGACTGTTCGTTCTGATCATTTCATATTAATTGGCCATTAGATCAAAGATATGCAAGTTAAGCATTTCTGCAAAAAAAATGCTAAATTCACTCAATATCAAATGTCTTTGGAATAAAAATTAATAAGTTATTCAACTTTATAAATACTTACTATATATAATTTATTTTATTAAATATTTTAAAAAAACCTATTTAATTTTATAAATACTTATTCTATCTAAGATGAAGGTAGAAGCATAGATACTAGATTATAGTCCACTATGAAAGAGATATCAGGATTATCAAAAAGAAAAAGGAAAGGCAATGAAAAACTGCAAATACAAAAATAAAGAAAAAAATTCAATTAAAAGAATTAAATAGAAAATAAAAGAAAGGAAACAAGTGTAGTCACAGACTAAAGCAACTAAAAGTAAAGATGAATCATAGTTGTTCATGTTCTTTAAAATCATAGCTAAATACAGGCAGAAGAGGCTACAGATTTTATATGTACAAGTACCTTAATACAATTGGATATGCCACACTTTATGTAAAATATACAATAAAGTTTCAAAATTTCAAATGTATAATTTTTTACAATAAATAATTTGTAACATTATTGTTGAATTTTAATTACAGTCTAACTTCAGGATTGGTAACCAAAGGTTCAATATGGCTAAGGTGATAGTGCCTATATAGAGGTTCATTTCTTATGTTTTGCAATCATTGGTAAACTAAAAAATGTAATTTTTATATAATTTGTGACTATATTAAGAGTGACTATATTGAGGTTATACTGATTACTTAACTATGATAATTTGTCTTATAGTTCAAGTTACTGGAATTATAAGATTACTACTCATTTCTTATTCCATCATTAAATTATACCGATATCTTAAAGACGGGTAAGCCTTCGTTGTTAATTTTAGATTAATGGATAGGTTGAATCTTTAAAAGATTCATTTAAGTCAAAAAGCATCGCAAGGCTTCAGAAATTTTTATGAAATAAGTATTGCATTACGGATAATCTATATAATCTATTTTCATTACTGTAAAATTTAACAAATATATTTTGAGAGCCGTTACTCCGTTTTCAATGATTTTGATCTCAACTGAATTCTAAAGTTTTTAGCATTCGTTCAAATCCAAAATCACTGGTAACGGACAAACTATTCTCTAATTACTTAAGCATAATATTTTTTTGCACAATTAAGTTTATTTCATTGTCAGCTCATTTCAAATATAAGTATTTTTTATAACGTGCATATTTTTGATCCTAATTTTAATAATCTAGTGACAATCACATTTATGAATAAGCAATGTCGGATTAAAGGGTTAAACTAAAGGATTAAAATATATGTTAACCAGTTAAGCTAGATACAGCTACAATATTTATTCATAAATCAATGACAATTAATAACTTATTGTTCAATAAATTTACTTCATTATATTGATAATATTTACAATGCCTATAATAATATATTATAGTATGAGAGCATAATAAATACTCAATGATTTGATATAAAAAAAAGATTACATAAATATTAATATTAACAAAATAGCATCAATGTTTGGTAAAGTGGTGGTGGTAAAGTGGGTTAAGAATTAATTTTGACCGGTTATGTCATAATGTAATTCATTCACAATGCATTTAACTTCATTAACAAACTTTTCTATACAGCTTTCACATTCTAACCTTAATTTTTCATCAATATGATCTGTTTGACACATTTTTTCAATAACCTTATGTAATGCTTCGCTAGTTATGGTCACTTGTACGTCATGTTTTCCGTCTTCGTACACCTCAAAAATCGATAATTTAATTTTATCATTTGAAAATTCATTCTTGCATTTAATAAAACTATGTTTACTCTTAATACGCGTAATTGTGAAATAGTAATCAGAGGTATCTTCTAAAGTGATAATTTTTGTGTCCATATTGTAAGTAGCATTTATCATAGAATTATAAAGTTCGGTAGGTAATTCTGTTATTGATGGTACTTGAGAAAGTACCTTGAACCGAAAATCCAAGGCTGATTTTGAACCAACAAAAGCATAGAAAAGAAGTTTATTGTTTTCAGATTTAAGTTTATGAGGTATTAATTTACCATCTGATGTAATATTTGTTGAGACAATAAAACGTTTCTGAGCTTTATTATCAATTAAGTAAACGTACGCCTTCTGAATAAATTCAGGACTTTTCTGATATTCCAACTCAGCTAAACGATTTTCAATTAACTTTGCTACTTCAAAAGAAATATGACTCGTAAAAGTAGCTTTGGTATCTTTTTTATAACCTATCTGATATTTAAGGAGTTCATTGAGAAGAATCGATTTTGGAAGATCAACATCTTCTCTATTTGATGGGTAAAAGAGTTGCTTGCCGATATTTACTCTAACCTTGAAGTCAAGATTTTTGTTATCTGGATTGGTAACTTGTTCTATTATCCGTTTGGTAATGTAATCCACCGAATATCTATCTTTTCTAGGTGCGATGATTTTAGACGGACTAAAAAGCAAAATTTGTCAGTTTGTTTTTTTTTGTTTGATAAATACAAATATAAATATGTAATTAATTATTACGTACGCAAGATTAAGATTTCCAACTAATGAAGTTAGCTGATCATCTTCGTTCATTTCTTCACCTTTATCTAAGATGAAGTATGCTTTATCTAAATTATTTTTATCAACAATACCTTCGTATTTTGAAAATAGTATAGTTTTGAGTCTGGCCAATGGTGGTTGAAGTGCGATAATGGCTTCTATTGGGTGATTATAAAGTACAATACTGTTCCATATACAATCTTTGATCATACTAAGGGCAGCTCTTCTAGCCTCATTCGTGCCCTCTATTTCTATAACGTTATTTTTTTTGATAGTGCATTTAGCCTTAGAGCTTCTTTCAATCTCGTTGATTTTAGAGTATCCTCTGCCTACAACATGACCAATAGAACGAAATGGAACTCTAATTGTTTCCATGATACTACACTATAAGAAAGAAAGGTAATGATGTAATAAGTGTAATAAGCGAATAATGATCACTGAATACTTATTCAGGCCAATTACGTGGTAATTAAAAACTACTAAAGGGATCTAAATAGATCTAAAGGAATAAGATTTTTGTGATTTGAATGGGTTCTTTCATTGTTTATATACATGTTTACCTATTATTAGTTACACATATAATACCAAAAAAATAGAATAAGAGAAATATAATATATTTCCATACACAGCAATGTCAATAACATTAATAAATTTACATAAGTTTGCCAAATTAAGACGACTTTTAAGCATTTATGTACGTACGTACGTAATAATTGTTGTTGAAATAGACATAGTTGTTAACAATGACATGCATACACAATCCAAGTTGTTTTTTAGGTTGCAGATATTGTACGAATTTGGTAATGATCCGCATTAGAAAAGTCCATATGTAACTTGAAATTCCGGTTGGCAATTCCGTGCATATCGATATAGTTAATTGATGACAATGTTTGAATTGCTGCGTCGCGGAGTTGTGGCGTTGTGATGAAACCAATTACAGAGACCAGTCGGAGCTACGTATAAATCAAATTTGTACACATGAAACACCAGCTATATGTATAAAGGGAAATGAGTTTTTTTCCGGAACTTTAATTTATGGATTTGCAGAATAACCGAAACATGTTACACGATTGTGCAATGTCCGAATCCAATTTTTTATAGATAGTTATCGTTATATAATTTCAATAAATTTATTTTGTCATCATGCAGAATTAACATACTATATCCGGATATACACAGAGGCACATACGGACCTTATCATATTGTTACTTATTGGAAAGCTCGTCAACGAAGTGACAGAGCAGTCATTATTGCGAGATCAGATGACTTATTGCAGATCGCATTTGTTTTTGTGCCTTTTATGTAGAGTTCAGGGCACAGGGGCATGGGGCATGCCCTTGTCATGTGATGTTTAAAGTTATTTTAATTGGCTAATAAGTTCAGGTAAGCTAGAACTGTAGATACTTAATCAACATGTAAGATTTTTAAACTATATGTTAATCATATGATTTTAAAAGGGCATGCCCATAGGCATGAGGGGCATGCCTTAGCTCAGAGGCATGCCTATATGGGCATGCCCAATTTTTTTTCCATGTCCTGAACCCTACTTTTATAGTTAGTCTAGTGTTTTTTGTAAAGATTCTTGTTAATGCAGGTTGTTCGGAATCGTTATAGTGATGGCATATGATTTAGCGAATTTAGGTTTATATGAATATTGGCAAATAGGAAGGTGTTAATAGGACTAAGGGTATTAAAAAGGAGGTTCGAGCATGTGAAAATTAAGGGTGCTTATAAGGGTCATTGTTCAAAAGAAAGAGGAGTATCTTTCATTTCGCTATTGCTCGCCTTGGTAAGGGCTGGCTCTATCATGCTAGTAAATAATCCATTAATATACATTATTGCTGTTATTTATATTATAATAAATAATAATAAATAAAAAAAAAAACTGAAGAAACACTTAAGCTTAGAAAGAATCCCTTTCCTATAATGTTGTTTGCAATATCAGTAGTCAGTTGGACCAAGTTAACCTTACATGAATTGAAGAAACTATGTGTTTTATGTGGCCTGTCAGACAGAGGTAACAAAGAAGACTTAGGTAAAAGGTTGCATCTCTTTTTTGAGAAAAGAAAGGGAAAGCAATCAGAAAAGTCATTAGAAGGAGCTAGTGCAGAAGCTAGCAGCAGTGCTGAGAACTCTAAGAAGAAACTAATAGATAATAATAGAGATGAAGTTAAGGATAAAGGTTTTATTAATCTTGAAGGAGATAATATTTATGAGGAATCTCAAGAAGCAGATAAGAGGATTAGAGATAAGATCACTCATTATCTGGAAAAGAAAAAAGAAGAGTCAGTACCAATCAATATTTTTTTGTCAGCCTTAGGTAATCTAGAAAAGAAAATAGATAAAAGTTTTTCAGCTCTTCATTTGGAAATAAAAGAAGGTGAATTGTTGAATAAAGCCTGACCCAGTGTTAAATTATCAAAATCACATGATCAGCATGAATATGATTTTTTAACAAAACTAATAGGCATTTGGACAGAGCTATGAGGGTTTTACCTACTTCACTTATGAAAGATTTTGCTGATATTCGGAATGAAATTGAAACTCAAGCAATTACACTGAGGTTGGCAGATAATAAAGGTTGGAATCTAGCCTTTCAGATAATTGAAAACAATGATATAATGATAGATAAATATAAGGATTGATTGTCTTTATTTAATCAGTTAGAGCCTCGTTCATGTAATAATAATTGGAATTATCATAGTAAATTATGCTATTATCAGCAAAAAAGAAAAAGATATTTCTTATCATCATTAAATTCAAAAAGAGAAGACTCATATATGAAAAGTAAGAAAAGAGATAAGGGTATGCTTTTCTTTTGTAGTAGAGAAGGATATGGGTTTTCAAAATGCTAAGAAGAGATCACATGTTTCAACTGTAGTGGATTCAGACATATTGCTTCCAATTGTTCCTTTATATTGACAAAGTCAAGTATTAAAACCAGAAGTGATAATTGACTACACTCAGGTATAGGTTTTAGAAAAACAGATTGAAAGAATAAATACAAAAGTTATAGAGAATCAGTTATCAGTTGTAGGAAAGATGCATACATTAGATGCACTAAATTATTGAAAATACAAAATAGATTTCTTATCAGTAGTTATAGATTGGTTATGAAATGGAGTTCCTTTATATCCAAGAAGAGCTTTGGATCTGGTAGCACAACCAGTTCCAAAGCAGTATATGTTGTCAGAAGAGCAGAAAGAGTGGGTACAAAAGGAGTTGGATTGTTTAATAAAATCTTTAGCAATAGGATGTTTGGGAACCAAGCAGAAAGACCTGATTTCTTACTGGAAATAAGCCCAGTTTTTCTAGTTCCAAAAAAGAGACCAAAGAAATGGTGAATAGTAATAGATTTGAGGCATTTAAATTTAATTTTGCCCAAGAAAGATGTGTGATTAGAAGGATTAGAAGGTTTGCTATGAACAATAGGAGTAGGATGGTATATAATAACATAGGACCTGAAAGATGCTTATCATCATGTAATGATAAGAAAAAATGCACAATGCTTTCTTGGTTTTCAAGTTCTAAAGAATTAGTACTATTACAAGGTTCTCCCTTTTGAACTATCGCAAGCAGTATGAATCTTTTCAAAGATCATGAGAGCTATAATAGAGCATTGGAGGTCTTTAGGTTTGTTCTGTGGCAATTACTTGGATGATTTTTGGTTGGCTTACCCTTCATTAGACACTTTAATCAAAATAAGAGATGAAATAGTTGCAGTAAACTTAGAAAAATATGAGTTGATAAAGAAGGCATCAAAAGGTTAGTGAATGCCAACACAAAGAGTAAAATTTTTTGGATTAATAATAGATACAATAAGAGCACAGGTAATAGTTCCAGAAAAAAAAATTTTAGAAACAAAAGAGTTATTGCAAAATTTAGTAAAGAGAAAAAAGATTACAGCTTGACAGTTAGCAGCTATAGCAGAAAAAATCCAATCACTCAACAGAACATTTGCTTATGCAAAAGTATGATGTTTAGAGTTTTATACTCTAATAGATGCTGCAAACAGAAATTTTTGGCAATGGGATTCTTTGGTAAGTTTAACAGAGCAAGCATAAGAGAATGCAAGATGGGTTGCCTTAAACTTAGAAAAGCAAAATAGACATTCAGCATGGAAACCATTAAAGGTAAAACAGATCTTTGTTAATGCTTCAACAGTTGGCTGGTTAGCAGTTTTAGGAGATTTTCAAGCCTTTGAAAATTGAAGTTTAAAGAAATCCTACAGAGAAATAACAAGATTAGAAGCAGAAGTAGTAATTTTAGAGATAGAGTCTTTTGCAAAGCTATTAGAGCATTCTTGAATAGACTTGCATATAGACAATCAGAATGCAATTGGGATAGTAATGAAAGGTGGCAAACTGTTATGACAGAAAGATCTTTTGCAAAGGCTTTGGAAACTACTAGACAAATATGATATTTGAATTAGTGAAGTGTTTTACATACCTTCAAAAATCAACCCAGCAGACAATCTAACATGATGGATAGATCAGAATGACTGAGATCTAAGTTAATTAATATTCAACATGATAGAAGAAAAGTGGGAACCACACTCAGTAAATTAAATGGCAGATCATCAAAATTCGAAATTAAGTCAGTTCAACAACAGAATCTATTGTCCAAATACAGAAAATGTAAATTGCTTTACCCAAGATTGGTCAAAAAAAAACAACTAAGTATGCCCTCCTTTTGCATTGATACATCGAGTTCTTCAACATATAATAGAAACAAAGGCAATAGCAACAATAATTATACCCAAATGGGTCTCAGCAGAGTGGTGGCCAATTCTAATGCACAGACAAATAGACACCTTACTACTACCTCCTGCTTAAATAACCTTTGTAAAAGGTTGATCAGAAGAGGTAAAACCATAGAAAAATTAGAATTGGCAATTATGGCAGTAAGAGTAGCTTAATTAAAATTTTGCTTACAAGAGTGCAGATGCTAGAAAGAAATGCAGTATTAAAGGGTTGGAACTAATGTTTGAATAAAGCCTGAAAGTTATATACAGACTATTGTAAGTTTGTAAGTATAAAAGCATTATTATCATTAATAGATATGCTAGTATTATGCTTAGTTTGGCTTGAGTTATTAGAATCAGTAACTGCTTGTGCTAATGTTTTGGCTGCAGTTTCAAGAGAGCATTTAGATGCTCAACTGCCAAACCCATCAAAAGAATATGGAGATAAAAAGGTTTATAAGGCACTGTTTAAGAAATATAAAAAAGACAAAGATCCAGAATAGTCTTGTAATCTCTTTTCAGTCTCAGCTCTAAAGTATTTTATTAGCAACAAGCCACAGTATATAAGTGAAAAGTATTGAATCAGAGATGCTGCTTTAGTTGCTGTTGGGCTAAGAACTATGTGTTACCCTAGAGAGCTATGTAAATTAAGACTTAAAAATGTTAGATACAAACAAAAATTAGTCTGAGTTCGAATTGCTTCTTTCAAAACTGACCAATTTGCAAATGGAAAGTTTATTCTAATAGAATATACAAACAAGGAGGTCAGTTATCAGTAGGTGCTATGGGTGCTATTATTAAAAGAATGGCTGAAAATGCAGGTATTCAGGGTAGATATACTGCTTATAGTATTAGGATCAGTGGTATGATAGCTGCAATAGAAGCAGGATTGTCATTAGTACAAATTAGAGCTATAGAAGGTTGGAATAGTAAAGCAGTAATGTTGTACTTGAGATCTGTAGGAACAGCAAGTTTACATGTTTCTAGCAAAATAAGTTTTTGCTAAATGATTTTCTTCTTATTCCCATATGTTTTTTCATTATATAGCAATAAAGTATATGATCGAGCAATAATAATAGAAAGCTCATTAACGAAGTGACAGAGCAGTCATTATTGTGAGATCAGATGACTTATTGCAGATTGTATTTTTTTTTTTTGGTATTAAGGTGACCTCTTTGGTCTTTTGACTTTTATTAATCACTTATCGGTATTGTGGTTCA